CACCTGCTGGTCCCAGTTAACTTTATTTGCTTATTTATTTTAATTTGACCAGAGAGAGAGAGAGAGAGAGAGAGCGAGTGAAAGCAAACCACCAGGTCTGGGACTCGAACTGTGGTCATCCACATAGGAGTCCAGAGCCCTTAACTACTATGCCACCTGCCGCCCTCTCTTTCATTTTATTTATTATTATTATTATTTAAATTTTCCTATAGGGCACATGTGCTCACCAGAGAGAAATAGAAAAAGTAAGAAAGCAAGCTGCTGGGTTCAGAACTTGAACTGCAGTCAGCCATGTGGGAGTCCAGTGTTTCAGTGACCACGCCATCTGCTGGCCCATTGTCTTTATTTTGTAATGGTAAAAAAATATGTATTAGAACTAACTGACTGGGGGCTAGGTGCATGTATGCCCAAAATCCTGAGAAGAAAATGGAGTAGAAGGGACTATGGCGTGGCCATCCTCCTTGAGGAGTAATTTCTCACTTTCCTTCTCTCTGTGGCTATTTCTCCAGCCAGTGACCACGCCATCTGCTGGCCCATTGTCTTTATTTTGTAATGGTAAAAAAATATGTATTAGAACTAACTGACTGGGGGCTAGGTGCATGTATGCCCAAAATCCTGAGAAGAAAATGGAGTAGAAGGGACTATGGCGTGGCCATCCTCCTTGAGGAGTAATTTCTCACTTTCCTTCTCTCTGTGGCTATTTCTCCAGCAAGCACGTCTATGGCAACAACAACGACAAAAAAAAAAAAAAAAAGAAAAGAGAAAAGAATTAACTGACTGGACTCAGATTAGGTGATCCCAATTTTGTTGGAAACATCCAAAGCATCATAATCAGGTGCCAGTCTCATATGCCTTCTCTCCGTCAGGCCTGGTCTGGGTGTTGACTTTGGTCCCATCAATATAGAGCTTCTTCACAGCCTGTTTAACCTGGTGCTGACTGGCCTCGACATCCATCACGAACAGTGTGTTGTCTTCTATCTTCACGTGGCCACACCATATGGAGAGTGCTTTCTCTTTTGGACTCTGTGATCGGGGGAACCTGCTGATGGCACAGTGATCCACGCTTATTTCTCCTAGAGGCGTTCTTCCAAGGATATTTGGGCTGCCTCCTGAGCTGCAGTATCTTGGGCCACTAGAAGGCAGATGATGTGCAGATGGTTATGTTGTGCATTAAGCGTTGCCTTCTTTTTTTTTTTTTTTTTTTTAAGAATTACTTTATTTAGTTTTATTTGTTTATTTTAATTTGACCAGAGAGGGACAGAGTGAGAGTAAGAATGAGAGAGAGAGAACAAGCCACCAGGTCCAGTACTCAAACCACAGTCATCCATGTAGGAGTCCAGTGCCCTTAACCACCATGCCACCTGTGGCCCCCAGCACTGCCTTCTTGGGCTTCAAAGCCAGCTTTGGATTCAGCTGTGGGAGGGGCAGTATCTCCCTTCTTTGCTTTTGGTGCTCTCTTGGCAAAAAGCCAGTATTTGTCTTTCATAGCAAGGCTCATTTCACTTGACATTTTATCTTCTAGGTTTGTCTACTCTGTGTGCTGTGACAGGATAGTGTTTTTATTTTTATTTTACTTTATTTTATTTTTAGAGAGATTTTTGCTACAGGGCACGTGCACTCACCAGAGAGAGATAGAGATAGAAAGTGAGAAATCACGTCCTGGGGGACAGCCACACTGCAATCCCTTCTCCTCCAATCTCCTCTCAGGATTTTAGGCACACATGCACACACACCCAGTGTGAGTATTTATTTTTTAAGAATTATTTTATTTAACTTTATTTATTATTATTATTTTAAAGAATTATTTAGGGCCGGCAGGTGGCATGAGTGGTTAAGGGCACTGGACTCCCACATGGCTGACTGTGGTTTAAGTCCCTGACTTTGTGGCTTGCTTTCCCACTTCCTCTCTCTCTCTCTTTCTCTCTCATGCTGTCCCTCTCTGCTCAAATTAAACTAAATAAATAAGTAAATAAGTAAACAAACAAATAAATAATGTTAAATAAAGTAATCCTAAAAGAAAAGAATTATTTAATTTTATTTATTCATTCATTTATTTTAATTTGACCAGAGAGAGACAGAGGTTGAGAGTGAGAGAGAGAGAGGAAGTGAGAAAGCAAGCCTCCAGGTCCAGGACTTGAACCTTGGTTGACCATGTAGTCCTTAACCACTATGCCACCTGCTGGCCCTCCAACTTCATTTATTATTTTATTTTAATATGACCAGAGAGAGATTGACACACAGAGAGAAGGAAAGCCTCCAGGTCTGGGACTAGAACTGTGGTCAGCCCTGTGGGAGACCAGCACCCTTAACTACCACCACCTGACGACTCCCTGGCGTGAGTTTTTTTTTTAATAATTATTTTATTTTTATTTATTCATTCATTTATTTTTTAATTTGACCAGAGAGAGACAGAGGTTGAGAGTGAGAGAGAGAGAGGAAGTGAGAAAGCAAGCCACCAGATTCAGGACTTGAACCCTGGTCAGCCATGTGGGAGTGTCCAGCACCTTAACCACCACGCCACCTGCTGGTCCCCCTGGCGTGAGTTTTAAGCCACCGAGTCCAGGACTCGAACCATGGTTGACTACATGGGATTGCAGTGAGGTAATCATTATGCTATCTGCTAGTCCTTGTTTTTAATTTTTTTTAAAGAGTTTTTTGCCTTAGGATGCATGTATTTACCAGAGAGACAGTGAGAGGGAAACTGAGAAATCAATCCACCCCACCACCCTGGGGATGGTCACACCACAATCCCTTCTCCTCCATTCTCCTTCCAGGATCTTGGGCACATTATCTCAGGAAGATGATGTGTGTGTGTGTGTGTGTGTGTAGTGTTTTAGGCAGCAAGAAGACTCTCTAAAACACTACACACACACACACACACACACACACACACACATCACCACCCCCATCATGACCAAAAAAGAAAGAGAAAGAAAACATCAGCCAGTGGTGTGGCGGTTAAGGTGGCTGGATACCACATGGCCAATTACAAGGTTCGAGTCCCAGACCTGGCAACTTGAAAGACATGCATGTGTCTGTGCATGCCCAAAATCCTGAGAGGAGAATAAAGAATGGATTGAAGTATGGCTATCATCCCCTTTCCCTGTCCCCCCTACCCTATGAATGCTTTCTTGCTCATATTCTCTCTCTTTGGTGAGCATACATACCCTACAGCAAAAAAAGAAGAGAAAGAAAAAAAGAAAGAAAAAGAAGGAAAGAAGAGAAAAGAAAAGACAAGGAAAAAAAAGGCAAGGACAAATGTTTCTGGGAGGGCATAAAAGATGAGCTCCATAAACTGGACAGGGATTTGATCACACATGGAGGGTTTTGTTTGTTTTTTAAATTTTATTCATCATTGTTACTACTAATTATTTTTAAAGATTTATTTATTTTTATTTGTTATAATTTTTTTAAAATTTTACCAGAGAGAGATAGAAACAGGAAGTGAGAAAGCAAGCCACCAGGTTTAGGACTTGAACTGTGGTCAGCTCTGTGTGAGTCCAGTGCTATAACCTACTGGCCCCTATTACCATTATTTTAATTTGACCAGTGAGAGACAGAGACAGGGAGAGGGGTGGAGGGAGTGAGAAAGTAAGCTGTCAGGACCAGGACTCCAACCACAGTCAGCCATGTAGGAGCCTAGTGTACTTTACCACCACACCACCTGTTGGCCCTACACATGGAGATTTTAATGCACAGCCGCAAGTTACCATGCAACAGCCTGCTGTTCATATACAAAGGCAGGAACCTTTGACTGCTTCCATGTTGGCATCTGCCCCTCCTCAAGAGCAAAAGCAAATGTTGGGTGAATGGCTGTTTCCTCTCATTCAAGCCATGCACCCTACTCTTGCTGGTAAAATCACTGGCATGTTGTTGGAGATTGATAATTCAGAACTTCTTCATATGCTTGAGTCTCCAGAGTCTCTTCGTTCTAAGGTGATTTAAATTTACCATCATAATAGTTGCCTCTTGTAGTCTGTATTCTAGGGCTTTTTATAGGGGTTTACTTCTATAGATCATTTACTTAGTACTATGTACAAGCTGTGCATAATCCTAAGAGTTTTGTGGATACTAATTGTAAATTCTCATACCAACCTGTGGTGTTGTTATCCCCATTTTATTGATAGGGAAACTGAGGCATAGGGTTGAATAATTTGCCCAATTGGTTTAGCTCCAACAGCTATGCTTGTACCTAGGTTTTTTTTTCTTTTGGAGCAAGGAATATTTGCTAATACTTGCCCTTTTTTTTCTTTTTTAGGTTGATGAAGCTGTAGCAGTACTACAAGCCCACCAAGCTAAAGAGGCTGCCCAGAAAGCAGTTAACAGTGCCACTGGTGTTCCAACTGTTTAAAATTGATCAGGGACCATGAAAAGAAACTTGTGCTTCACTGAAGAAAAATATCTAAACATTGAAAAACTTAAATATTATGGAAAAAAACATTGCAAAATATAAAATAAACAAAAAAGGAAAGGAAACTTTGAACCTTATGTACCAAGCAAATGCCAGGTCTAGCAAACATAATGCTAGTCCTAGATTACTTATTGATTTAAAAACAACAAAAAAAAAAAAAACACAAAAAAATAGTAAAATATAAAAACAAATTAATGCTTTATAGATCCTGAAAAAATAATTTTCAGCAAAGTACAAAAATTTAAAGTATTCCTTTAATTTTATAATTCTTTACTGTGGAATAGCTCAGGGTGTCGGTCTGTTTTAAGTAACAGAATTGATAACTGAGCAAAGAATTATAATTTAGATTATAAAATTCTTGCTTTAATAAAAATTCATTAAACACTGAAAAAAAAAAACCTTGATAAGTTGGGCCAGCTTGTTGGGTATGGTCCAAGTCCTTGGAAAAACTGCTGGGCATGTGTCCCTGTGTGCCCAGAGTCTGCTGGAGAGGAGTGGAGGAAAGGGGGTTGCACTGTGCTATGGGGAAGCACTTTCTCATTTTCTCTCTCGCCTTCTCCATCTCTGTCTGGCAAGCAAGCAGGACAAATTGAAAAACAAAAAAGGGGAGGTTGTGGCCTGGTCATCCCCACTACAGGGCAATTTCTCACTTCTCCTCTCACTCTCTTTCTCTCTCTGTCTCTCTTTGACAAGCACATGTGCCCTACAGCAAAAACAAGCAAGCCAACAAATTTAATTTAATTTAATTTAATTAAAGAGTTCATGCTACTGGGGGCCGACAGATGGTGTGATGGTTGGGGCAGCTGGACTTTCACATGGCTGACCATGGTTCAAGTACCAGACTTGGCAGCTTGCTTTCTCACTTTCCTTCTCTCTCATTGTCTCAATCTGGTCAACTTCAAAATAAATAAAATAGGGAACCAGCAGTTAGTGTAATGGCTATGTCACTGGACTCCCACGTAGTCGACTGCGGTTCGAGTCCCGGACCTGGTGGCTTAAACTCACGCCGGGCGCGTGTGCATGCGTACCCAAGATCCCGGGAGGAGAATGGAGGAGAAGGGATTGCGGTGTGGCCATCCCCCCTGGGGGGTGATTTCTTGCTTTCTGTCTCTATGTCTCTCTCTGTCTGGTGAGCGCACACTCCCTACAGTGAAAACCTCTAAAAAAATTAATTAATTAATTAATAAAATAATGACAATGAATAAAATTAAATTAAAATATTTTTTAAAAATGTTCTTTTTTTTTTTTTTTGAGAGATTTTCACTGTAGGGCGCGTGCGCTCGCCAGACAGACAGAGAGAGACA